GCCCGGCCCCGCCTCGGCCCGCCGCGCCCCGCGGACGCCTGGCTCGCTACCTTGCGGACCCCCTTGTAGATGTAGAAGTAGAGTTCCCGGCCCACATTGAAGCACAGGCGGTCGCCGTTGCCCGACTGGTCGTTGAGGTTGACGAAGGAGACGCGGACCGGGTTGGAGCCCTGCGAGTTGAAGGGCACGCGGTTGGGCCGGCTGTACTCCGAGTGCGGCAGCAGCTTGTACAGACCTTCCCGGGTGGTGAACTGGGTCTTAATCTCGTTCATCTCCTTCCCTCCTCCCTCCGTCGCCATCTTGGAAAGCAGCGTTCATCCTGCCCTGAGTGCCCGGATCACGCCCACCGCGCAGGCGCCGTCTCCGGCGCTTGCTCTCGCCCAGCCTCGGGCTCGCGGCCCCGCCCACCTGGTGCCAGCCCCCCGCGAGGGCGGGCCGAAGGGAAGGGGCGGGCAGCCGGAGGCGCCACTGCGCACGCGCTATCCTCCGACGCGCTCCGCCCTGCGCGCAGACCCCGCCCCCGGGCGCGCAGGCTCCGCCCCCTCCTGGCGCCTGTGCTGCTCGCCGCTGGTGAGGCGGAGCCTGAGGTGAGGAGAAGCTGTGCGCTGTGTCCGCCTGCCCCAGAGGTCTCACACCTGCCCCGCGGGACCCCGACCTGCCCCGGGGGACCCCGACCGCGAGTCCCTTTCGAGGAGGTGTGGAAGGTTGATGAAAGCCTCCGGGTTTAAGGCGAGGTGGAAGGACTGAGTTAAAGTGTACGGGATGTTTTCTACTCACCCGAGGACCGGGACGCAGAGTGACCTTAGGTAGGTTGTGGGGCGCAGCGGTTAGAACACTGGCTGCTCTTGCAGAGGACCCGGGTTCAGGTCTCAGCACCCACGTGGCAGCTAACAACCATCTGTACCTCCAGTTCCAGGGGATCCGACGCCCTCTTCTGACCTCCGTGAGCTCTGCAGGGCTCTGCACTTAAACACATGCAGGCAATGCACTCACACACGTGAAATAAAAGTAAGTCCCCCGGCGTGGTGGCGCACGCCTTTGATCCCAGCACTCGGGAGGCGAGGCAGGCGGATCTCTGTGCGTTCGAGGCCAGCCTGGTCTACATAGTGAGTTCCAGGACAGCTGGGGCTACAGGGAGACCCTGTCTCAAAAAGACCGAAAAAAAAGAAAGTGGGCTGTGTTGGCCCTTCGGTCTCCTGACATCTTCAGCCCGTGTTTACGAAGGGGTGAGGGGCACAGGCCGTGGCTTTAGGAGCCAAACGCTTGAGAGTGTCTTGCTTGATAGTTTGTTAATACCTCTTAAAGTAAAACTAATTGATTTTTTTAAAGCCTCAAATGGAATCTGAAGTTGTGTAATAGGACAACCAGATACATAGTTGTATGAATATACTGTACAAAGTCCAAATGTAAATACGTAATGACAAACATCAAATAGCATTAAGCAGTCACCCTTTGATACCTTGATTTCTTGCTATTGTACACTGGAAATACAAAGACTTCTAAAGTAATAAACATTCTAATAGAATCCTATAATGGGAAAAAAATTGTTATACAGAGAATGGACTGTTCCTGAAAAGCCATATCTATACGGTAGAAAATAAGTGGGGTGAACCCCATACGGTGGTGGGCACCTGTAGCTGCAGTCTAGGGAGGAATGACTGAGTCCCAAAGCTGGAGGGAGGCTTGCTTGTTCAACATACAAAGATTCCCCCTCAAAAAAATTATTTTTAGACCGGATCTCACTGTGTAGCCCTGGCTGGGCTGAAACTCACTAAGTAGATCAGGCTGGCCTCGAAAATGCATATACAACTCTCAGAATTTAATTGGAGGGAAGTTCTGAAGTAGAAGTTTAAATCATAATCTTCTTATGTAGTGCAGTGCAAAAATCAGAAACAGTAGAGACTACCAATGGAGGGTTTGATGTGACTTCTGTAAGGTTTATACATGCTGGTTAAAAAAAAAAAAAAATAGAGGCTGGAGAGATGGCTTAGTGGTTAGGAACACTGGCTGTTCTTGCAGAAGACTTGGGTTTAGTTCCCAGCACCCACGTGGTGGGTAGCAATCATCCATAACCCCAGTTCAAGGGGATCCAGCACCTTCTTCTGGCCTCCTCTGGCACTGCACAACACGGGTGCACTTACATACATGTGGGCAAAACACTCATACTACATAAAATAAAATTAATTTTTAAAAATTTTATTATTTTTATTCTATGTGTATGAGTGTATTGCCTGCATGTGTGAGTGCACCTGTGTTGTGCAGTGCCGCAGACGTCAGAAGAGGGTGTTGGATTCCCCTGGAACTGGAGTTAAGAACAGTTCATAGCCGCCATGTGGGTGCTGGGAATCAAACCCGGGTCCTCTGCAAGAGCAGTCAGCTCTTAACTGCTGCACCATCTCTCCAGCCCCAATTAATTTTTTTTTTAAAAAAAGAATCCATTTAGGGGCTAGGGAGATAGCAGATAAAAACGCTTGCCATGCATCCTTGTAACCCAAGTTCAGATCCCCAGAACCTATGGAAAAATCTGGACGTGCTGTTTTGGACCCCCTGGAACTGGAATTATGGATGGTTGTTAGCTGCCATGTGCGTGCTGGGAATCAAACCCAGGTCCTCTGCAAGGGCTCTTAACCGCTGAGCCATCTCTCCAGCCCCAAAATAACATCTTTAAATAAAATAAAAATGCTGGGTGGCTCACACCTGTAATCCCAGCACTCTCTGGGGACAGGAGCATTGCCAGGAATTCCAAGTTGGTCTAGACTACCAAAAACAAACAAACAAACAAAAGCACTTACATTTAATACATGAAAAATATGGGCCGAGGAACCTTTATCTTGAATGCCTGTGCCAGAAGTGTCTTGGATTTCTTTGGTTTTGGAATATCTGCTTGTACATCTTGAGGGTAGGACTCAAGTCAAAACACAAAGCTCATTTGTTTCATGTACAACTTACAAATTTTACATATAGCCTGAAGGTGATTTTTAACTATTGCCTCTTCATTTTAATCATTTAATTTTTCTTAGAACATTTGCATGGCTGAGGTTTGTCTCACTGTGTAGCACTGACTGGCCTGGAACTCACTATCAGACCAGGCTAGCCTCGAACTCACAGATCTCAACCTGCCTCCCAAGTGCTGGGGTTAAAGGCATGCATCACCATGCCTGGCCTGTAAGTTTATTTATTTTTATTTTATTTATTTTTTATGTGTATGTATGTATTGCCTGCATATATGTAAGTGCACCCATGCCAGCTGGTGGTGCAGGTCTTGTTTAGGCAACCATACTGTGGAGGTCTCATGAGTGCAGATTCCCTATCCTGTCCCTAAAGGTATACGCCACCACACCCAACTAAGATTGGATTTTTTTTTTTTGGTCTTTTTGAGACAGGGTCTCCCTGTAGCTCCAGCTGGCCTGGAACGCACTATGTAGACCAGAATGGCCTTGAACTCACAGAGATCCACCTGCCTCTGCTGAGACTAAAGGCATGTGCTACCACACCCGGCAAGATTTTATTTATTTATATTTTTAATTTTTATTTTATGTGTATGAGTGTATTGCCTGCATATATGTGAGTGCACCTGTGTTGTGCAATGCCACGGAGGTCAGAAGAGGGCTTCGGATTCCCCTGGAACTGGAGTTATGGCTGTGGTTCGTAGCTGCCATGTGGGTGCCGGGTCCTCTGCAAGAACAGTCAGTGCTCTTAACCGCTGAGCCATCTCTCCAGCCCCTTAGTCCATATTTTTACATCCCCTTTTTCAGGCTGGGCAAAGCCATCACATTTGTCCTCCAAGCACTCTCTCTCTCTCTCTCTCTCTCTCTCTCTCTCTCTCTCTCTCTCTCTCTCTT